CTAAATTTAGAAACTCATTATATATTTTATAATTTAATATAATTTAAATTATAAAATAATTTTTTTATTAATAATTAAAACATAAACACAATATAACTAACGACTTAAATAATTCATTGATTATTTATTTTCGTTAAAAGTAAAAGATTTTGAATTTAAATCATATAACATGTAAATGAGATAAGATAAAAGATAAATAATAATTATCTTTAATTATATAATCAAAATAAAAAAATAATAATAATAACACATACTAAACATATAGATAAGGTGGATAACAAAAATTTTAAAATAAAAAGAGAAGTAAGACGACAGTGGTTGAAATTTTAGAAAGCGTAGTAATATAAAGATAGTTTTTTAATATAAATTTTATATAAATAGAAAAATTAATAATTTAAATAATAAATAAAATTATTAAAAAAAGAGAGCTTTTTTTTTCTTTATCATTTTTCTTTTTGAAAAAGGGCAGATGATAAGCAGGGTCCCACTCTCTCTCACGCGGCAGCTAAACATCAGGTCATGAGGGCCCCAGCCCAGACCCAGAGTGTTGCCCAGTTCATGCCGCTCCGTTCCACCTGTATAAAAGCGACTCTTCGGCTGATTAGTCGCCAAAATTGCGCCTTGTTTCTTCTAATAACTACGACATACGAGAAATGGCACCTTCTTAATAATAATTGTTTTTGTTAAATCTTTAATTTGATCTCTAAATTATTATACAAACTTTTAATTTGATCTATAAATTAAAAAAATTTTTGATTTGATTCTTAAATTATTGTACGAACCCTCAATTTGGTCACTACTGTTTACTAATTTACTCCAAATTAATTGTTCCGTACAAAAGTTAATTAATGTGTTTTGTTATTGACGTGACACATGATCATTAAATTATTCTTAAATTATTGTACGGACCCTCAATTTGGTCACTACTGTTTATTAATTTACTCCAAATTAATTGTTCCGTACAAAAGTTAATTAATGTGTTTTGTTATTGACGTGACACATAATCATTAAATTATTATTTTGTTATTAAGTAACGGACACTTCAACTGTTTTTTTGTATAAAAAGATTAACTTATGGTAAATTGGTAAACAGTATAGACCAAATTTGGGGTCTGTACAATAGTTCAGTGACCAAATTAGAGATTTTTTTTAGTTTAGGAACTAAATCAATGATCCGTATAATAGTTTAGGGACCAAATTAGGGGTTTAACCTTTTTTTTTTCTTTTTATGAAAATAATATGTGTATAATTAATAATATATTTAATTTAAGAAAAGTAAGAAGAAAAAAGGAGGATTTTTTTGATAAATTAAATTATAATATTTAAAAATATGATATTAGTGGGTATCAATTTTGACTCTAAAAAATAATTAGAATCTTAATCTATATATAAAAATTGAAATCTCATTTTATTAAATATTAATATCTAAATTTAGAAACTCATTATATATTTTATAATTTAAAGTTAAAATCTCAATTATTTTTAGAGTTAGAATTGATATATATTTTAAAAAATTTATAATTTAATTAATAAAAAATTATTTTCTTAATCTCTTATTTATTTTAAAAAAAATCATATATATTAGAAGAGTTTGATATTTTAAATTATGATTTTTAAATTTTAAACTTGAGAGTAATACTAAAGAATTAAGAAAAAGAAGACTATTAAAAAATTGAT